AAGATAAGTAATTCTGATCTTCCCTTTAATTTAACCCAAGACTTTATTATAATACGATTTAGTCATTGTGTACTTTAAATTGTTTATAGTTTTTTCTTTTTTAATATATTTATATTTTATGCCTTTATTTTTAATTATTTGCATTATAACCCTAACATGTTAATTAAATTGACCATTTGATTTTCCCCCTTAATTTGTTATTAATATTCTATAAAGCATGTTGTTCGATTGTATGACATCTTTATTTAACTGAAAAGCATGATAGTCTTACGTGCAAAAATCAACATTTTCATAATTTGATTAAAAGGGAATATTTAGTTATTTAAAATTATCGAAAAGGACTATTCTAACTTAATTGGTAGTCCAATTTTGGTAATTTAAAATAAATAAATATCTTTCAGTGAAATTAAATAAATTTGGCAACACTTTAAAATTGATCAGGGGTATATTTGTAAATATTTTAATATATTTTATCTATCTTAAATAATTTGATTAATAAATTTTTGTTACGTGGTCTCAATGTGAATAAACTCATATTAAATTATAAGAAATTTATTTTGATGTTTCTTATTTCTTTTTGAGAATAAGAAAATCATTACCCTAATTCATATTAGAAAGTAATTCTTCTTGTTCCGAAATGCTGAAATATTGCTTGTTTACCTTAGAAACCTTAAGCTCGTGAGAAGAAATATTGGTAAATCAGCTTTTGGTTAGAAATGAAAGGGTGTTATTCTACTTCATATTAGGAGTTTAAATTTCTCCAATCAAATTGTAATACCCCAAATTTTATCTAGTGACTAAAATGTAAGTTTTAAAAGTTTAGTGGCTAAATTATAAACTTTGTAAAACTTTAGAGACTAAAAATATAATTATTAAAAGTTATATATTTTTGTCCAAAAATTAATAGTTTATTATAAAATTGACGTTTTCATGGGAATAAAAAATTTGATTCGGGATTTGTATTAAAAGTTATAAAGTAGTCAAGTCCGATAAGAATTTGGATAATCAGATCGAATCAGAATTTCACGAAAATCTTAAGAATGATAGGAAAAGGTTGGAAATAATATTTTCATAATTTAGAATAGTGAGATTTAACATGGATTAGTGGAAATAAAGTCGATTTTCCATGTTAAGCCAAACTTGTGAAATTAGGTGACTAAATTGCAAATTTGAAAATATCCAATGATAAAGGTGGGAAGTCAATTTTTTGGTTCATCTTTGACTTTAGATTTAAAATGGAATATATTACAATGGCAGGTTGAAATTATCATATTTCATTAAGGGTAAAATGATAATTTCACATTAATTGAATTTAATTATATTAAGTTAAAGCCATGTGTATTAGATATTATTATAGAATAATCAAGAAATTTTCTCTCTTCTTCAAGATCCAAACCGTGAATTCCATAGTAGGTAAGGGAGAGTTTTTCAATTTTATTTTAAAGCTATTCGATTTATTTTTGGATTAAGCTATTAGATATTGAATTAATCTACTTGAAATTCTCCATCATTTGGTATAATTGGTTCATGGAAAACATGTATGGATGATAAATTTTATGATTAGGTTTCATGAAGGACATGTTGAATTTTGAAGAGTTAAAGGATGATTTTTATGTTATGGTGTTGTAGATTAATTTCCAAGCATGGGTGATGATCAAAATCATCTAGAATTATAAATATCGCATTCAACCATGATTAGGGTTTATGAGAAATTGTTGAACTTTGATTTAATTTAATGTTAGGGTGATTGGAATTGCATGAAATTGATCATATGAGCTTGAATTCATGCTTGAAACTAGATTAAAATCAAGCCCTAGTGTACAAGTAAGGTTCGGTTATGGGGGAATTAAATGGGAAAAATATACAAAAATTTCCTATGGTCTATAATTGATATTAGAATGATTCTACATGCTTTGGAGATTGTTTTGGATCAATTTGAAACCTTGTGAAAGTAAAATGGTCATTTTACAAGTTTTGGAGTTATGAGGCATTGATGTATAAATGTTTAATTATGAGTGTTCAATACTGGAATTAATGTTTAAATGCTGAATTTGAAATTAGAGTATTGTTTTTGGATCAAAATGCAAAATTTGGTAAACTTTGATGACTCAATCGAAAATGTTAAAAAGCTTGGGGATTGAATTGCAAGTTTGTAAGTGTGAATGTACTAGATTTAGTATATTATTACAATGCTATAAATTTTAGTATTAGATTTAAATTGAATAAAACGGTAAAGGACCATTTTGAATTACTTGGAAAAGTTAGTGTGAATTCTAAAAGAATTCACTCATTATGACTAAAATGCAAGGTTTATGAAAGTTAAGTGACTTGGTGATGAATATGAATATATAAGGAATTGAAGTGTAATTTTAGAAATGTTGAAGTTGTTATTGAATAGTGAAGTAGTTTTATATCGAATAAGTATCGAATTATATTTTATGATTATATCCTTCGATTTCGCTTATGTTAGTATAACACTAATATATACTTTGAATATTGTGTTTTGTGCATGAATTTATCTAGATTACGATAAATCTTGTGGTCTAATGGAATCAAAGGTAAAGGATCAAGAATGTAATTAAAAAGGTTACCGACATTAAAGGTCGATAGTGAAGAAAATAAAGTAAGTGTGTTTTATTTATTTAATTACACTGATTGAGGAAGACTTGCAATGAGTTAACCTTAGATGATTTTTTAAAAAAGGTTTAAATAAAATTATGGAATATTTTCATAATGTATACTGAAATTAAATCATGATTTATTTTAGGATATGAACTGCGCATTTTACTGATTTTTAATAAATGAAATTTGAATATGATACTGATTGGAATATTGGATATACAAATGATATAATTGTATCGTAAAACCTGTTGTATGTTGCATGGAGTGTCGCATGTACAATTGGCATGCCATGAGATGGAGTGATCACTGTTTACTATTATTGATAGAGTACATTCGTGTACATCATGTGCGGCACCTTTAGTGCAATTTATATGGGCATTTTCAAGTGCGAAGTACTGTTATATATATGGGCACTTATGGGTACATATTGCGCACACTCGACTAACTCGCGTACCTTGCATTCTCTTTAGATATACATTGGGTTATGAAATTGAAATATGAAAGTACTAAATATGTGATTGAATGAGAAATGATTATATTACCGATTATTATGAATTAGCATTGTGATAACTCTCTAAAAGAGTTATCTTTAGTACTTTTTCACCTAGGTTTAGCTTGAACTTGAGCATGTGTAGGAGCATTTTAGGATTAAAATTACTTAGCTCTACGCATTTTGCATTATAGGAACATTGTGGGTTACTAAGGGCTAAAATCAATTTTTGTTGTTGGTTACACTGATGTCGCAGGATTGCATGAAATGTTGATAGGATACTATAGCGATCATCCAAGCTCCAGACGATTGGGAGAAACTTCTGGATTGGGACAGTTGGCGTGACCAGCTGTCATTTAGCTGTATCACCTGAAACATGGAAATTGTCTATTGGGAGATGAAATTCCCATCCAAGCTATAAAAGGGAAGTACCTTAGCATAAAAAGTAAAATGTTCAAGAGCCTTTTTCAAGTACCCACATCTTCATATTAAATCATCAAATACGTAGAAGCCTAAGTCCTTTGTCAGGGATTGCTGCAGCACATGAGAAGCTTTTTGGATAGCTTCAGCAGTCAGCAGATCTCCATTCAAGGCTTTCTTTTGAGAAATGGAGTGATTTGAATACTTAAACCTTTATTGAATTATATTTCAAACTTTATATTTTGTTTCTTTGATACTCATTTTATGAGCTTAGTCGTTTATGATTGTGGTAGAAGTACTCATAATTAAATATATAGTATTTTTTTATTAAAATTGGAAATTGTTTTATTCGATTTGTTATATGCATTTATGAGAATTGGTGTTGTTTAGTAGCATAGTGTATTTTGAAAAGCATGCAGCCAATTGATTAGTGTTGTTAATATCTTGAGCCTTTAAGATACAAAAGTTGTTAACGTAGTTCAAGAGGTTTTAATCAATTTTGATCGAATAAATTGAGTGTTGGATGTTTACATGAGATTTGAAGTTCATAATATTGTATCCATAGATTTGATAGTTGACCACGTGCTTCCTAGAATGTTGTAGCATGAACTGGTGTTTTCACTTATTGATTTACATTTTGTCTTTAGCATCTCATACATTTGATAAATCATATTTTTGCAAACTCTAATGACAACACTATGCTCCTGTGGGTTCGACATCCGTTGCATTAATTGCTATCACTTTATTGTTTGAGCGATATGTATACTTGCGTTAAATTTTATAGTATTTTACACATCATCAAGTTTTTGGCGCCGTTGCCGAGGTGTATCTGTTTGATTTAGAGTTCTTTTAATTTTTCTTACTTATTTTTTTCTTTTGTAGGTATTTTTATTTTCTATTTTTCCTAGTATATGCCCCTAAACGATGACGACTTAGAGCCGTTTGATCCAGAGATTGAAAGAACATTTCACAAACGTCGCCATGAAGTTACTATAGTTAGACGAGGGAATGATATTTTACCCCTGCAACAAAATGGAGAGAATGATGAGTTACCAGATGGCATTGAATCTAGGCAACCATATCAGAATTTGGATGATCAAAATCGCTCCATTCATGAGCATGTGGTGCCAATATTGGATGATCTTCATCCGGCCATTGTGAAGCTAGTTATTAATGCTGTGAATTTTGAATTAAAGCCAGTTATGTTCCAAATGCAAGAATCTATGGGACAATATGGAGGATCTATTACTGAAGATCCTAGGGCTTCTTTGAGGTCATTTATGGAGATTTGCGATTCTTTTATTCAGCAAGGTGTTCCAACGGAGGCATTTAAGCTGAAGCTATTTCCTTATTCGATGTGTGATAAGACACAAGTTGGTTGAGTTCATTGCCACCAGTTATTATAGCATCCTGGAATGAATTAGCACAAAAATTCTTGTTAAGGTTCAACCCACAGAATATGAATGATAAGCTTCAAAACAATTTAACTTCATTCAAGTAGTTGGAAGATGAAAGCTTGTATGAAGCATGTGAGAGATTTAAAGAATTGTTGTGAAAGTGTTTTATGCATGGATTCCCACATTCGACTCAAATTGAGATGTTTTATAATAGATTAAATATACACACTCATATGGTGGTGGATGATTCAGCAAATAAAGCTTTGTTGGATAAGACATAAAATAAAGCATATGATATCTTAGAAAGAATATCCACAAATGATTACTAATACCTTAATGCGCGCAACATATTTAGTCAGTATGGTACTACAGCAATAGACTCGGAAGCTTTCAACTCTATGGCATCTCATATTTCAACACTGACTGAAATAGTGAAAAAATTGCACAAACCAGGAGGAATGTATGAAGTTAAAGCCACATCTCTTATCACTTGAGTATATTGTGGCAATGACCATAATTTTGATGAATGCCCTCAAAATCCGAAGTCTATATATTATGTGTGGAATTATCAGAGGAATGATAATATTTTTGGAAATAAATAAAATGTTAATTTCAAAAATCATCCCAATCTTTATTGGAGAAGTTAGAATGTCGCCAATCCACAACATCAACATTATCAGCAACAACATTACACGTAACAGAACCAGATGCCACAGCCATAGGCACAACAATCTATTGCTCATCCATAGTAAATGCAGAATTACCAAGTTCAATCTTCTAACCAAACTTCAACCTTACCCCCTTTTAAAGCCATGATGAAAAAATATATGGAGAGTCAATCTTCCTCATTAAAGGCTATAAATAATTAGATGGGACAAATGGCTAATGCTCTAAATAGTAGAATGTCAGGATCACTTCCCAGCAATACTGAGAATCCTAAGAAAAATGGTAAGGAGCATTACAAGGCCATTATCACCAAAAGTGGAATCCATATTTGGTAAACAAATTGAATAAATGAAGGGAAATAATGACTAGTCCATAAGCATGGTAAAGGGAAGAGAAAAGAAGTTAAGTCTGACTCCTATGAGAGTCATTTCACATCATCAGATGCAAGACAGAGTAGTAATTTAGAATCATTGCCGACAGCAACACCTACTACATCTGATGCTCAACCAACTTCAATGTCTTGGTAAAAACAACTAAAAATGTCTCCACCATTTCCACAATGCTTCAAGAAGACAAAGGAATATCAACAATACAAAGCTTTTATTGATGTTCTTCGCCAACTCACAATTAACATTCCATTGATTGATTCTTTAGAGAAAAACACGAACTATATCAAATTCATGAAGGAAGTTCTTTCGAAGAAACGAAGACTTGGTGAGTTTAAGATAATTGCTCTTACTGAAGGCTGTAGCACTATGGCTACAAGTCAATTGCCACCAAAACTTAAGGATTCAGGGAGTTTCACTATTCCTTGTAACATTGGTGACATATTTGTAGGTAAAGCTTTAAGTGATTTGGGTGCTAGCATAAATCTAATTCCATTGTCAATCTTTAAGAAATTTTGGAGTGGTGAAGTAAGGCCCGCTATAGTTATTTTACAACTTGTCGATCGATCTATCGTGCATCCTAGTAGTATTGTGGGGAATATTCTTGTGCAAGTGAAAAAGTTTATTTTTCCTACGAACTTTATCATTTTGGATTGTGAAGCGACCAAAGAAGTTCCCATTATTCTTGGTCACTCATTCCTTGCTACATGTCGAGCTGTGATTGATGTTGAAAAAGAAGAATTAATTATGTGCTTCAATGATGAGCATATTACTTCTAATGTTTTGAATAATGTTTCTTATATAAATGACAATGTTGATTGTTTTTTACTTAATGTGATTGACATTTTTTCACGTGAACATTTGGAAGAATGCTACAGTGCTGATACAACTCTGTATGATTCAGTAACAATCGAGGAATTTTTGACTCATGAAGAAGAAGAATGTAGTAGCAAGTATTTCCAGAGCATTGAACCCTTGCAAATGAATGATCATATTCTTCAAGCACAAAATCCATCTATTGAAGAACCACCAAAGCTCAATTTGAAACCTCTTCCTGAGCATGTGAAATATTTTTATCTTGGAGAAAATGAGACACTACTAGTCATTGTGGCCATACAGCTTACAACATCATAAGAAACTCATTTAATTAATATGCTGAAGCAGCATAAGAAAGCCATTGCGTGGAGCATTGCTAATATAAAAGGTATTAGTCCATCATTTTACATGCATAAAATTCTTTTGAAGGATCCTAATATTAGTTCAATTGAACATCAGTGATGATTAAACTCGATCATGAAAGTAGTGGTTAGAAAGGAGATTATCAAATAATTTGATGTTGGGATTATATACCAGATTTCATACAACAATTGGGTCAGTTCTGTGCAATGTGTTCCAAAGAAGAGTGGTATTATTGTGGTGACAAATGATAAAAATGAATTATGGCTGACAAGAACTACTACTAGTTGAAGAATATTCATGGATTATAGGAAGCTCAATAAAGCAATAAGGAAAGACCACTTTCTATTGCGTTTATAGACCAAATGCTAGATCGACTTACTGGTAATGTTTTTTATTATTTTTTTGGATGGAAATAGTAGTTACAATCAAATTACTATAGCTCTAGAGGACTATGAAAAGCAAACGTTCACATTTTCGTATGGTATGTTTGCTTTTTGTAGAATGTCATTCATGTTATGTAATGCTCCAGTCACATTTCAGCGTTGTATGATAGTTATTTTCTCTGATATGATTGAGGATTTTCTTTAAGTATTTATGGATGATTTTTGATTCTTTGGGCATGACTTCGATAAGTGTTTGAGCAATTTGGATGCAGTTTTGAGAAGATGTGATGAGACCAACTTAGTTTTCAATTGGGAAAATTTTCATTTTTTGGTCACGGAAGGCATAGTGCTAGGGCACCGAATTTCAATCCATGGCATTAAAGTGGATAAAGAAAAAGTGGAGGTTATTGAAAAATCTCCATCAAAACCAATGTGAAGGTAATTCGAATCTTTCTTCATCATGTTAGTTTCTATAAAAGGTTTATTAAATATTTCTCTCGAACTGCTAAGCCATTGTGTTCATTGATGGAGAAAAACAAGAATTTTGTTATTGATGATGAAGTGCTTCAATCCTTTTAGACAATTAAGAAAAATCGAGCGAATGTCCATGTTATTATGGCACGTGATTGGAATTTTCCCTTTGAATTAATGTGTGATGCTAGCGATTTCGCTATAGGAACAATGTTGTGGTAACGAAAGGATAAATTGTTTCATGCTATACATTATGCAAGTATGACATTAAATGAAGCTCAGATTAACTACAAAAAATTGAAAAGGAGTTTCTTGTTGTGGTGTTTTCTTTTGATAAATTTTGTTCATATTTTATGGGCATGAAAGTGATTGTCTATATCGATCACTCGGCGCTGAAGCATTTATTTGCCAAGAAGGGTACAAAACCTTGTTTGATCCAATGGGTGCTTTTACTTTAGGAATTTGACATTGAGATTTTGATAAGAAGTTATCTAAAAATCAAGTGGTTGATCATTTATCTAGATTGGAATATGGCAACAGAGATGGCATCATTCTAGTAATAGAATATGAATTCCCTAATGAGTGTTTGCTCATTGCTACAACATTAATGTGTTATACTGATTTTGCCAACTATATAATTAGTGGGATGATGCCACTTGATCTTAATTATCAAGGTCAAAGGAAATCTATGAGGGATGTGAAGAAATACTATTGGGAGGAGCCATACTTATTTAAGTAATGCAATGATCAACTTATGCGACAATGTATCCCTCAATGGGAACAACAAAGCATTCTACAACATTGTCATAGTGCCCTATATGGAGGACATTTTGGTGGTATGTGTACTGCAGTGAAAGTGATTCAATGTGGATATTATTGGCCATCACTTTTTAAAGATGTCAATGATTTTGTAAAGCATTGTGTCGCTGCTAGGGAACAGGGAATATTTCTCGGTGTAATGAAATGCCAACACAACCTATCCTAGAGATCGAGCTATTTGCTTATGGGGATTAGACTTTATGGGTCCATACCCTTCTTAATGTGGCAACCTTTTTTTTAGTTAATGTACACTACATGTCAAAATGGGTGGATGTTGTAGCTTTTCCAAACAGCAATGCTAAAGCAGTTTTGCGATTCTTGCATAAAAATATTTTCACTTATTTTGGAACTCCTAGTGATTTTATTAGTGATGAAGGATCTCGATTTATTAGTCATCAGGTTGCTAGAGCATTGAGATATGGAGTGAAGCATAAGATTGCTATAGTATATCATCCACAGTCTAATGGTCAAGTTAAGATGTCTAACCGAGAAATCAAGCAAATTCTTAAGAAGGTGGTAAACCCTTCTATAAAAATTGGCCACAATATCTTAAAGAAGCATTGTGGGCTTATAGAATCGCTTACAAGTCGTCATTAGGGATGTCCCCTTATCGTCTTATTTATGGAAAAGTTTATCATCTACATGTAGAGCTAGAGCATAAAGCTATGTGGGCATTAAAGAGTCTGAACTTTGATCTAGATGTGGTATGTGAAAAACAAATGTTGGAGCTTAATAAGTTAGAAGAACTTTGAATTAATAAATCCTATGAGATTTCACACATTTACAAATACAAGAGTAAAAAGCGGCACGATAAAAGGGAGTTCATTGCTGGACAACAAGTGTTGTTATTTAATTCGAGATTAAAGTTGTTCCCTAGGAAATTGTGTTCTTGTTGGTCAAGCCCTTTTAAATTTCTTGAAGTTTTCCCTCATGGTGTATTATTATTAAAGAATTTAGTGGATGGAAGTACATATGAAGTTAAAGGGCGGCGTTTAAAGCATTATTGCTAGTGACAAAGCCCTAGCATCGCTTCAATCACACTAAGCAACCTCCTTCTTTTTGATACTTTTACTTTTTTGAATAAGTCAATTTTTTGACATTTATTTTTAAGTCTTTATTTTATTTTTTTCAGGTATTTTTCTTTTGATCATTCCTAGGCAGTTCTTCAAATTCTGATGCATTTCATTATTATACTAAGGCCACAACATTGAAAGGACAGTCAGCTAAGTTCTTAAGGAAAAACTCAGTATGAGTTGTTTACCATTTACCCCTCTTTCATTTTTCACTGTCTATTTTACCCTATCATAATTGCCCATTTAAATTTTATCCTTATCCCTCCATCATAAGCATTTCAAATTTCAAAACAAATTTTTTATCCCCTTTGTCATGCAACCTCTTAACTCCTACTTACTTTACCTTCTTCTCCCCGATTTTGAAACCCTTGAGATGTTCTCCTTCATTTTTCTCATCTATCTACATACTTCCATGGCCCCTAAAAGAAAGCTAAGTTCAAAGAAATCAGGTCGTACGCCTACCTTGCCTCTGGTTATATCTACGCCCCAACAACTCTCTCTGACTAAAGAAGTCACTAGATTTATGGATGATGAACAACAACGGCAATATGAAAAGGACTTCAATGGTCGAGATTTTTGTTATGAGCAAGGATTCGATTTAACTACATATGAGGATCCTTAAATCTTTGATTATATTTCTCACATGGATATGCAACGAGGTTAGGGGAAGTTTTGTGAACATTTGGATGACATCAATAAACAAGTAGTTTGGGAATTTTACAGCAATCTCACCGACCAGGCCAAGCAATTAGTCTTTGTTCGTGAGAAGATGGTTCATTAGTGGGCTAAACCGGTTAATAGCTTGTTGGGTATTATTGAGGAGCCTTATGAACATTCAGCTTTCGTGGAAAACTTAACTAAGGAATAATTAAAGCAGGTTGGGAGTGATGTTTGCTTACCCATTTATTCTTGGACGAGATCACAACGGGCGTTCGCACTATAAAATGATCGAATCTCCATCGTGATGCAAGGGTGTGGTTCATTTTTCTTAGAACCCGTTTAATGCCAACCATGCATTTTTCCACAATTACTAAGGATCATATTTTACTTCTTCATTCTATTTTGATGGAGCGAAAAATCGATGTGGGTAAAATCATTTATGTTGAAATATTTATTTGTACCTAAAAAACCTCAGGCTATTTGTATTTTCTATCATTAATCAATGCACTGTACTATCAAGCACAAGTGGTTGTTCTATCTTCTGATCATATTATTGAAAACCGTAGCCCAATCACCCCTTTTGTTGTGAGCCCAGTCACCCCTGCTGTTGTGACCCAAACACTGCTGAAAGAAGGGCTAGATCCTAATAAAGTTCATGGAGAACTATTTGTTCCCATTGCCATAACACAACTCCTACCATGGAGTGCCTCAAAATGGTTATAGCATCTGTTAGTGTTAAGCTAGATCAGGCTATAGCATTGTTGAGCCATTCTCTTTAGAATCAGTCCCAGGTGCATAGCGCCTAGGTTTAGTATTGGGAGTATGTACAAAAAAAGATCTAGCGACCAAGATGATGTTCGCGAAGCTATTCAAAAAGGCTAAAAACACTATTCCTAATCTTCCCAGTGAACAAATTAAGAGATTTATGCAACCAGAAGTGATTGATACTGGCCATAGTTGAGCTAGGACTAAAAGTCCTAATGCTACACATCTTGGAGGTGAAAAATAAATAATTGTTATTGATACCAAGTCAATGGTGTTAGAGTATGCCCAAAGACCAATCATATAATGATTGTAATAATATATTTATTTACCGATTTTATTGAATAAAGACATTGCCAATATTATTTTTAGTTATATGTATGTGTTTAACATAAACTGAAAGATAATAAAGTCAATATAATATTATTAAAACATCATAGTCAAGAATTATTATGGGCATGGACAATAATAATACGCTTAATACTAACATGTTATTGATTGATGACAAGGAGTTGTCATTGACATAGAGATGTCAAAATTGATACATGATTATATTGTTAAATAATAATGTGTTGGATTGACCCATATGAGCATATGTCTTGGATTATTATGTAACGGTCATAACATTGCTCATGGTGATGACTATATGTATGATCCTCAGACTTGAGATCAATGTCGTCCAACATATATTGTTGTATGTTTTGATACAGTTAAACATGCTCCGTAACTAGTTGCACTATAAAGACTGTTATTGAATATATCTCGATATATGTAGTGGGGTATGTAT